CTTTTCTTTACATTGTTCTTTATCATATTTCATAATGTTTGTCGTTTGTTTTTTGAGATGATGTTTTTCAGAAAAATGGGAGAAATGCGTTTTCGCGTCGTCAGTAAGCAGTTTTTTTGGTGCTTACCACCATTCCGGAACTATATAAGAAAATGGTTTAGATTCAGTCCAGAGTCCAGAATTTCATGTTTATGTCATTTCGATTTCATATATGATATGTTGTTATTCAAAAACGTCAATCTAGTTTAGATTCACTTGGCAATCAATTTAAGATTGATTTCAATTTACTTCCACATCAATATAAATAGGTGTATATATATATATATGTATATTTTTGAAGTAGTAATCACAATCCAAAGCCAAAAAGCCAAAGTTGAAAAGCATGTATATATATATATATCTGTCACAGTTTTCTATCTGTGATTTTTGTGTCTGGTTGACATGAAAAACTACTAATCCAAACAGGGTCGGGAATGTTTCATTCTAACGGACTTTGACCTGAGATCTGTCTGCTTATGTCTGTTTTTTTCTCCCCTCAAACTCATGAATCCATCAACAGCCAGTGGCCAATGTGGTAGGCACGCATGACAGCACTAGTTTCCAAAAAAATCAGACTTTAAAGCAAAATTTTGCATTATTCAGTTTCCAAATATGCCAAACTGATAGGTACCCTAAAGACATTTACGACACCCTTCAATTAACATCCTTGGGAATTCATCATTCGAAAAACAATGACGTTCCTCGATAGGCATTTCTGGCACGCTCTAGTTTTCATTTTGTTGGAGTAACATTTTCCACACATAGTGTGTATGGACCATTGTCCTTTCAGGAGAACCATGCACTGCTACGTCCAGTGAACCTATCAAGTTTCAACCCTGGTGACGGACGACAAACCTCAGAACCCGCGCCGGAACCTCCGGTACCACCACACCGGAACCTATAGAATAAGAAAAAAAACCCGAGAAACACTGATTGCAGCTTGTGCGCGTGCAGCAGGTAGGTAGTATGTAAGTAGCGTGTGGTTTCCAAAATGCTGCAAATAATGTGCAGCTGGCAAGTTGTGGGCTTTGGGCTGCTGCGAACTAGTGCAGGAAACAATGGATGCTATGCGTACTGTGTGTTTTATTTAGTTTCTGCGCCGTGCCACTGAACACTACTGCGCCTTGCTGCAAGTGGGAGGTAAATGGGAAGGTTTATTGAATAATAATTATTGAGCTCAAGGACCCACACTCTGGTTCAAGTCGCCGAGGAACTGCTCAGGGGGGTGAAGGGGTTTTGGCAGGTGGGTGTTCTTACTATATAAAAAATATGTATCAAATATATTTCATTAAAAGAGATCAAATACATGTCTATATATATATATATATATATTTATTTATTTATTTCATAAACATGATAACAAGAAAAAAGGGGAAAACCTAAAGTGCGAAGCAAAGCATAATATTCATATAGATTTTGTTTGATTCATTGACCTTGGAAATCCAGACTAACGGGTCTACTTTTGGCTAAGACCGCGCGCGCTAAGTCGGCCAATATTAGCGCGCGCGCGCCTCGGAATCCGTACTTTTGGCTCAAACTGCGCGCGCTAAGTCGGCCAAAATAGCGCGCGCGCTCGCCTCGCGGAAATCCGGGGCATAAATTCCCGGAAGTAGCGTTTTGCCTTATAACGGGTCTACTTTTGGCTAAGACCGCGCGCGCTATCGGCCAATTAATAGCGCTAGCGCGCGCGCGCCTCGCGGAAATTCGGGGCAGAAATTCCCGGAAGTAGCGTTTTGCCTTATAACGGGTCTACTTTTAGCTAAGACCGCGCGCGCTAAGTCGGCCAAAATAGCGCGCGCGCTCGCCTCGCGGAAATCCGGGGCATAAATTCCCGGAAGTAGCGTTTTGCCTTATAACGGGTCTACTTTTGGCTAAGACCGCGCGCGCTATCGGCCAATTAATAGCGCTAGCGTGCGCGCGCCTCGCAGAAATCCGGGGCATAAATTTCCGGAAGTAGCAACCTTATACAGTAAAATGCTAGGGTCTACTTTTGGCTAAGACCGCGCACGCTAAGTCGGCCAATAAAAGCGCGCGCGTCGCGGAAGCAGCGTTTTGCCTTTTATAACTGGTCTGCGCGCCGCGCGCTGCCCGGAGCATAGTATCCTAAATTAAATTGCAGTCTGTGGAATTTCCCCTTCAGTGGCGGTAGTTAGTAGGTAGGTAGGTAGGTAGGTAGGTAGGTTAGGTTAGGTTAGGTTAGGTTAGGTTAGGTTAGGTTAGGTTAGGTTAGGTTAGGTTAGGTTAGGTAGGTAGGTAGGTAGTGGGTAGTAGTTAGGGGTAGTAGTTAGGGGTAGTAGTTAAGTAGATAGTAGAAAGGTAGATAGTAGTCTAAAGTAGAAAGTAAAAAGTAGTAAGTAGTAAGTAAGTAGTAAGTAGTAAGCAGTAGGAGTAGTAGTAGTAGTAGTAGTAATAGTAGCAGTAAGTAGTAGTAGTAGTAGTAATAGTAGTAGTAGTAGTAGCAGTAGTAGTAGTAGTAGGTAGTAAGTAGTAAGTAGTTAGTAGTAGTTAGTAGTAGTTAGTAGTAGTTAGTAGTAGTTAGTAGTAGTTAGTAGTAGTTAGTAGTAGTAGTTAGTAGTAGTTGTTAGTAGTAGTTAGTAGTAGTTAGTAGTAGTTAGTCAGTAGTTAGTCAGTAGTAGTCAGTAGTAGTCAGTAGTAGTCAGTAGTAGTCAGTAGTAGTCAGTAGTTAGTAGTTAGTAGTTAGTAGTTAGTAGTTAGTAGTTAGTAGTTAGTAGTTAGTAGTTAGTAGGTAGTAGGTAGTAGGTAGTAGTAGTAGCTAGTAGTAGTAGTAGTAGTAGTAGTAGTAGTAGTAGTAGTAGTAGTAGTAGTAGTAGTAGTAGTAGTAGTGGTAGGAGTAGGAGTAGGAGTAGTAGTAGGAGTAGCAGTAGCAGTAGCAGTAGCAGTAGCAGTAGCAGTAGCAGCAGCAGCAGCAGCGGTAGCGGTAGCGGTAGCGGTAGCGGTAGCGGTAGCGGTAGTGGTAGTCGTAGTAGTAGTAGTAGTAGTAGTAGTAGTAGTAGTAGTAGTAGTCTACTCGTCGTTGGCATAGCTGGCCAGATAGGCATATTGTCCATTTTTTTCACTCGGTAAGTAAACACACGAGAAACCAAAATTTTTACACGAGAAGCCAATATTTTTTCTACAAAAAAGGGGAAAAATGTGGATGCTTAAACGGCGGCCAGCGTAGGCCATTGTCAAATATTTGATTTGCATGGATTTGTTTTCAGCACAGATTTTCGATGACAAACCCTACAGGAGCTACCTTTGTCACCAACCAGTTCTGGTGCTCTTTGATGTTTTCCCCAAACGTGGTTGGCACGGCCAATGCCACAGCAGCTGGCTGGGGGAACTTGGGTGGCGGTGTTACACAGATTTTTATGATCTCTGTGCTGTTCAATACAATGGTGAGTTCTGGCATGCCAGCAAACACTGCCTGGCGAGTTGCCATGATCGTTCCTGCTGTCCTTTTCCTGATTTGCGCAGCCACCATGAAACTCTTGTGTTGGGACACACCCACGGCCAAGCGCTTCGATGTGTCTGTGACTGGTAAGACCCAGAAACCATCTTTGTGGGACTATGTCGTGGTGCTGAAAGACATCCGCGTCATTGTGATGATTTTTCAATACAGTGCATGTTTCGGCACCGAACTCGCCATGAACAACCAACTGGCCACCCATTTCAGGACCTATTTCCAAATGGATGCGGCAGATGCATCAGCCTTGGCAGGAGCTTTTGGCCTCATGAACCTGTTTGCTAGGTCCCTGGGAGGCATCACCAGTGACATCCTCTTCAAGTACGTTGGTTTCCGAGGTCGTATTTGGGCGCAATTCTTGGCCCTTTTCTTTGAAGCGGTTTTCCTCTTCTGCTTTGGTATGGTGGACAGCTCGCAGCCATGGTATGTTGCCTTGGCCGTGCTGATTTGTTTCTCCCTCTTTGTCCAGATGGCAGAAGGTACAAGCTACGGGATTGTGCCTTTCATGAACAAGCAGCAGCTGGCCGTGGTGTCTGCACTGGTTGGGGCTGGCGGAAATTTGGGAGCGGTTATCGCTGGGTTTTGCTTCTACAAACCCATCAACGATCCGCTGCTTCCTTTCCAGGTCCATGCAGGCTATGTCATGTTTTGGGCTTTGCTGTCCCCTTGCTACTACTGGCGTGAGCATGGGGGCATGTTCCACGGCCCAGCTGTGGATAAGACATCTGTGGATAAGACGTCTGTAGATAAGACGCCTGAGCCAGCTGGGAAGAAGCCCCAGGCTGCAGAATCCACAGAAACTACCGTATAAAGTTTGGCATGTTCTTTTTATAATATCTAAGTTGTGGAGAAACAACTCTTCCGAAGCCAGCAAAGGGCACTCATGCAGAAGGCATGCTTTGCTGGCCAGAATGATCCTTTGCATGGAGTGCAGGACGTTTGCAGAAAATACCGTATTGAGTTGGCATGATTTGGGTAGCTCTGAATTTCCCAGGGACAACCTTTCCAAGGACAGCAAAGGACAGTCATGCAGAAGGCATGCTTTGCTGCCCAGAATGATCCTTTGCATGGAGTGCGGGATCGTTTTGTTTCTGGCGGATGAGCACCAACGTCGCTAATAGGCTGACTTCAGCGCGAAAAGGAACTTTAGCAGCTTGGGGCAAACCGCATGGAGAGTCTCTCTTGCATGGCTACATCTGCAGCCAAACGCGGTCTTTTGCATTTGAATTTATAGGCAGTGTGTCGCTGTGTTGCTGAGAGGTTTACAGTATTTGTACTTGTATCGGACGGTGTAATGCATTATATGAAATAGATAGTACAGGTGGTACAAGGGTTGATTTGATCCTTTTCAGAAGGAGCTTTGATGTCGCTGCAGGCTTGGAATGGCTTGGATGATTCTGGCAAAGTTGTGAGCAAACACGGAAGTTTCGCAGCCATTTTTGTCATTTTTCGAGACTCAAGCGGCAGTTGCAGTCGGCCCGCCTTCGCAAAAAACATGCCGGACTTCAAGTTGGCAGTGGACAAGAACAACAAGGCAACAGAATTGGCGTTGCTTCGCGTATGTGGCACGGTTCAGCAGAATCCGCACATGAGGGCATTCTGGGCTTCCACCATTTCCTTCTTCCTAGCCTTCTTGGGCTGGTTTGCCCTGGCACCTTTGGCGCTCGAGGTGGCCACCAGCATGGGCACGTGTGAGAATCAACTCTACCCACCAGAAGACAACCCCAAGCGGGTGGCCTACCTGAAGTACAAGTCACTCAAGACAGGCAAAGCGTACTGCCAGTACGGCAAGAATGATGACACCAATCCCACAGACTGCAATCCCGTGCCACAGGACATTTTAGCGAGTGGGACTGCAGACGAGAAGATGCAGTACCGACCAGGGGTGCTGGCGGACTGTGTTTGCACCCCGGGAACTGAGTGCAAAGACATCATCGCAAATGCAGGAGTGGCTGCTGTGGCATCGACCATTTTCGTACGCATCGCACTCGGTACGTTGTTGGAGCGATTTGGGCCTGTGAATGTCCAATCAGGCCTGATGACCTTTGGAGCTTTCTGGGTTGCAATGGCCGCAGCCATTACAGCGCCCTGGAACTACACCTTAATCCGCTTCTTCATTGGGTGCGCAGGAGCGGGATGAATCCCAGACAGTCTTAGTCTTGGGTCAAACGATATTTAAACGGACCATGATTGAGAATGAATATCATCGTGCCACGATGTGGTACAGACCATGGACAAAGTGTATAGCTTGTTCCAGCAAGACTCACGCTAATTACTTGTTCACGTTCTTTTCCAATATTCGGAGGGTGAGCATGCCACCGGTCCACACCCATCGGCCGCCAGCCACCACCACCAGCAGCCAACCGACTACCAAACAACAATTTTTCCAGCACCCATAGGCCATTGTCAAAAATTCGATTTGTATGGATTTGTTTTCAGCACAGAAGAATACTTTTGAGGGACAAATCCTGCAGGAGCTACCTTTGTCACCAACCAGTTCTGGTGCTCTTTGATGTTTTCCCCAAACGTGGTTGGCACGGCCAATGCCACAGCAGCTGGCTGGGGGAACTTGGGTGGCGGTGTTACACAGATTTTTATGATTTCAGTGCTGTTCAATCCAATGGTGAGTTCTGGCATGCCAGCAAACACTGCCTGGCGAGTTGCCATGATCGTTCCTGCTGTCCTTTTCCTGATTTGCGCAGCCACCATGAAACTCTTGTGTTGGGACACACCCACGGCCAAGCGCTTCGATGTGTCTGTGACGGGTAAGACCCAGAAACCATCTTTGTGGGACTATGTCGTGGTGCTGAAAGACATCCGCGTCATTGTGATGATTTTTCAATACAGTGCATGTTTCGGCACCGAACTCGCCATGAACAACCAACTGGCCACCCATTTCAGGACCTATTTCCAAATGGATGCGGCAGATGCATCAGCCTTGGCAGGAGCTTTTGGCCTCATGAACCTGTTTGCTAGGTCCCTGGGAGGCATCACCAGTGACATCCTCTTCAAGTACGTTGGTTTCCGAGGTCGCATTTGGGCGCAATTCTTGGCCCTTTTCTTTGAAGCGGTCTTCCTCTTCTGCTTTGGTATGGTGGACAGCTCGCAGCCATGGTATGTTGCCTTGGCCGTGCTGATTTGTTTCTCCCTCTTTGTCCAGATGGCAGAAGGTACAAGCTACGGGATTGTGCCTTTCATGAACAAGCAGCAGCTGGCCGTGGTGTCTGCACTGGTTGGGGCTTGCAGAAATTTGGGAGCTGTTATCGCTGGGTTTTGCTTCTACAAACCCATCAACGATCCGCTGCTTCCTTTCCAGGTCCATGCAGGCTATGTTGTTTTGGGCTTTGCTGTCCCCTTGCTACTACTGGCGGGAGCATGGGGGCATGTTCCACGGCCCAGCTGTGGATAAGACATCTGTGGATAAGACGTCTGTAGATAAGACGCCTGAGCCAGCTGGGAAGAAGCCCCAGGCTGCAGAATCCACAGAAACTACCGTATAAAGTTTGGCATGTTTTTTTTGTATCTAAGTTTTGAAGAAACAATTCTTCCGAAGCCAGCAAAGGACAGTCATGCAGAAGGCATGCTTTGCTGGCCAGAATGATCCTTTGCATGGAGTGCAGGACGTTTGCAGAAAATACCGTATCGAGTTTGGCATGATTTGGGTAGCTCTGAGTTTCCCAGGGACAACCTTTCCAAGGACAGCAAAGGACAGTCATGCAGAAGGCATGCTTTGCTGCCCAGAATGATCCTTTGCATGGAGTGCAGGACGTTTGCAGAAAATACCGTATCGAGTTTGGCATGATTTGGGTAGCTCTGAATTTCCCAGGGACAACCTTTCCAAGGACAGCAAAGGACAGCCATGCAGAAGGCATGCTTTGCTGCCCAGAATGATCCTTTGCATGGAGTGCGGGATCATTTTGTTTCTGGCAGATGAGCACCAACGTCGCTAGTAGGCTGACTTCAGCACGAAAAGGAACTTGAGCAGCTTGGGGCAAACCGCATGGAGAGTCTCTCTTGCATGGCCACATCTACAGGCAAGCGCGGTCTTTTGCATTTGAATTTATAGGCAGTGTGTCGCTGTGTTGCTGAGAGGTTTACAGTATTTGTACTTGTATCGGACTGTGTAATGCATTATGAAATAGATAGTACAGGTGGTACAAGAGTTGATTTTGATACTTTTCAGAAGGAGCTTTGATGCCACTGCAGGCTTGGAATGGCTTGGATGATTCTGGAAAAGTTGTGAGCAAACACGGATGCTTCGCAGCCATTTTTGTCATTTTTCGAGACTCAAGCAGCAGTTGCAGTCGGCCCGCCTTTGCAAAAAAAATGCCGGACTTCAAGTTGGCAGTGGACAAGAACAACAAGGCAACAGAATTGGCGTTGCTTCGCGTATGTGGCACGGTTCAGCAGAATCCGCACATGAGGGCATTCTGGGCTTCCACCATTTCCTTCTTCCTAGCCTTCTTGGGCTGGTTTGCCCTGGCACCTTTGGCGCTCGAGGTGGCCACCAGCATGGGCACGTGTGAGAATCAACTTTACCCACCAGAAGACAACCCCAAGCGGGTGGCCTACCTGAAGTACAAGTCACTCAAGACAGGCAAAGCGTACTGCCAGTACGGCAAGAATGATGACACCAATCCCACAGACTGCAATCCCGTGCCACAGGACATTTTAGCGAGTGGGACTGCAGACGAGAAGATGCAGTACCGACTGGGGGTGCTGGCGGACTGTGTTTGCACCCCGGGAACTGAGTGCAAAGACATCATCGCAAATGCAGGAGTGGCTGCTGTGGCATCGACCATTTTCGTACGCATCGCACTTGGCACGTTGTTGGAGCGATTTGGGCCTGTGAATGTCCAATCAGGCCTGATGACCTTTGGAGCTTTCTGGGTTGCAATGGCTGCAGCCATTACAGCGCCCTGGAACTACACCTTGATCCGTTTCTTCATCGGCTGTGCAGGAGCGGGATGAATCCCAGACAGTCTCAGTCTTGGGTCAAACGATATTTAAACGGACCATGATTGAGAACAAATATCATCGTGCCAAGATGTGGTATAGACCATGGACAAAGTGCATAGCTTGTTCCAGCAAGACTCACGCTAATTACTTGTTCAAGTTCTTTTCCAATATTCGGAGGGTGAGCATGCCACCGGTCCACACCCATCGGCCGCCAGCCACCACCACCACCAGCAGCCAACCGACTACCAAACAACAGTTTTTCCAGCACCCGTAGGCCATTTTCTATAATTCTTATTTTTTGGATTTGTTTTCAGCATGGAATGATTTTTCGAGGACAAACCCTGCAGGAGCTACCTTTGTCACCAACCAGTTCTGGTGCTCTTTGATGTTTTCCCCGAACGTGGTTGGCACAGCCAATGCCACTGCAGCTGGCTGGGGGAACTTGGGCGGCGGTGTTACACAGATCTTTATGATTTCAGTGCTGTTCAATCCAATGGTGAGTTCTGGCATGCCAGCAAACACTGCCTGGCGAGTTGCCATGATTGTTCCTGCTGTCCTTTTCCTGATTTGCGCAGCCACCATGAAACTCTTGTGCTGGGACACACCCACGGCCAAGCGCTTCGATGTGTCTGTGACTGGTAAGACCCAGAAACCATCTTTGTGGGACTATGTCGTGGTGCTGAAAGACATCCGCGTCATTGTGATGATTTTTCAATACAGTGCATGTTTCGGCACCGAACTCGCCATGAACAACCAACTGGCCACCCATTTCAGGACCTATTTCCAAATTGGATGCGGCAGATGCATCAGCCTTGGCAGGAGCTTTTGGCCTCGTGAACCTGTTTGCTAGGTCCCTGGGAGGCATCACCAGTGACATCCTCTTCAAGTACGTTGGTTTCCGAGGTCGCATTTGGGCGCAATTCTTGGCCCTTTTCTTTGAAGCGGTCTTCCTCTTCTGCTTTGGTATGGTGGACAGCTCGCAGCCATGGTATGTTGCCTTGGCCGTGCTGATTTGTTTCTCCCTCTTTGTCCAGATGGCAGAAGGTACAAGCTACGGGATTGTGCCTTTCATGAACAAGCAGCAGCTGGCCGTGGTGTCTGCACTGGTTGGGGCTGGCGGAAATTTGGGAGCTGTTATCGCTGGGTTTTGCTTCTACAAACCCATCAATGATCCGCTGCTTCCTTTCCAGGTCCATGCAGGCTATGTGATGTTTTGGGCTTTGCTGTCCCCTTGCTACTACTGGCGTGAGCATGGGGGCATGTTCCATGGCCCAGCTGTGGATAAGACATCTGTGGATAAGACGTCTGTAGATAAGACGCCTGAGCCAGCTGGGAAGAAGCCCCAGGCTGCAGAATCCACAGAAACTACCGTATAAAGTTTGGCATGTTTTTTTTCATATCTAAGTTTTGAAGAAACAATTCTTCCGAAGCCAGCAAAGGACAGTCATGCAAAGGCATGCTTTGCTGGCCAGAATGATCCTTTGCATGGAGTGCAGGACGTTTGCAGAAAATACCGTATCGAGTTTGGCATGATTTGGGTAGCTCTGAGTTTCCCAGGGACAACCTGTCCAAGGACAGCAAAGGACAGTCATGCAGAAGGCATGCTTTGCTGCCCAGAATGATCCTTTGCATGGAGTGCGGGATCATTTTGTTTCTGGCGGATGAGCACCAACGTCGCTAATAGGCTGACTTCAGCGCGAAAAGAAACTTTAGCAGCTTGGGGCAAACCGCATGGAGAGTCTCTCTTGCATGGCCACATCTACAGGCAAACGCGGTCTTTTCCATTTGAATTTATAGGCAGTGTGTCGCTGTGTTGCTGAGAGGTTTACAGTATTTGTACTTGTATTGGACTGTGTAATGCATTATAAAATAGATAGTACAGGTGGTACAAGAGTTGATTTGATCCTTCTCAGAAGGAGCTTTGATGTCGCTGCAGGCTTGGAATGGCTTGGATGATTCTGGAAAAGTTGTGAGCAAACATGGATGCTTCGCAGCCATTTTTGTCATTTTTCGAGACTCAAGCGGCAGTTGCAGTCGGCCCGCCTTCGCAAAAAACATGCCGGACTTCAAGTTGGCAGTGGACAAGAACAACAAGGCAACAGAATTGGCGTTGCTTCGCGTATGTGGCACGGTTCAGCAGAATCCGCACATGAGGGCATTCTGGGCTTCCACCATTTCCTTCTTCCTAGCCTTCTTGGGCTGGTTTGCCCTTGCCCCTTTGGCGCTCGAGGTGGCCACCAGCATGGGCACGTGTGAGAATCAACTCTACCCACCAGAAGACAACCCCAAGCGGGTGGCCTACCTGAAGTACAAGTCACTCAAGACAGGCAAAGCGTACTGCCAGTACGGCAAGAATGATGACACCAATCCCACAGACTGCAATCCCGTGCCACAGGACATTTTAGCGAGTGGGACTGCAGACGAGAAGATGCAGTACCGACCAGGGGTGCTGGCGGACTGTGTTTGCACCCCGGGAACTGAGTGCAAAGACATCATCGCAAATGCAGGAGTGGCTGCTGTGGCATCGACCATTTTCGTACGCATCGCACTCGGTACGTTGTTGGAGCGATTTGGGCCTGTGAATGTCCAATCAGGCCTGATGACCTTTGGAGCTTTCTGGGTTGCAATGGCTGCAGCCATTACAGCGCCCTGGAACTACACCTTGATCCGCTTCTTCATTGGGTGCGCAGGAGCGGGATGAATCCCAGACAGTCTCAGTCTTGGGTCAAACGATATTTAAACGGACCATGATTGAGAACGAATATCATCGTGCCAAGATGTGGTACAGACCATGGACAATGTGTATAGCTTGTTCCAGAAGACTCGTTTCTGATGTGTTCTATGCTCACGCTAATTACTTGTTCACGTTCTTTTCCAATATTCGGAGTGTGAGCATGCCACCGGTCCACACCCATCGGCCACCAGCCACCACCACCACCAGCAGCCAACCGACTACCAAACAACAGTTTTTCCAGCACCCATAGGCCATTGTCAAAAATTCGATTTGAATGGATTTTTCGAAGGACAAACCCTGCAGGAGCTACCTTTGTCACCAACCAGTTCTGGTGCTCTTTGATGTTTTCCCCAAACGTGGTTGGCACGGCCAATGCCACAGCAGCTGGCTGGGGGAACTTGGGTGGCGGTGTTACACAGATTTTTATGATTTCAGTGCTGTTCAATCCAATGGTGAGTTCTGGCATGCCAGCAAACACTGCCTGGCGAGTTGCCATGATCGTTCCTGCTGTCCTTTTCCTGATTTGCGCAGCCACCATGAAACTCTTGTGTTGGGACACACCCACGGCCAAGCGCTTCGATGTGTCTGTGACTGGTAAGACCCAGAAACCATCTTTGTGGGACTATGTCGTGGTGCTGAAAGACATCCGCGTCATTGTGATGATTTTTCAATACAGTGCATGTTTCGGCACCGAACTCGCCATGAACAACCAACTG